TGTGTGTGTGTGTGTGTGTGTGTGTGTGTGTGTGTGTGTGTGTGTGTTTTGTTTTGTTTTGTTTTGTTTTTGAAGTTCTTAACCCATTTGGAGTTGAGTTAGTATAGGATGATAGGTACAGATCTGTTTGCATTCAAATACATACAGTTACCCAATTTGACCAGCACCATTTGTTGAAATTGCTCTTTTCTCCAGTGTGTATTTTGGTTTCTTTGTTAAAAAAAATCGAATGGCTATAGGTGTACATAATTATGTCTGAGTGTTTATGTTATTCCATTGATCAACATGTCTGTTTTCATTCTAATACCATGCTATTTTTATTACCATAGCTCTGTCTGTCTTACAACTTGAAATCTGAGGTGGTGAGACCTCCAGCAATTCTTTTATACTCAGGATTGTTTTAGCTGTCCTGGTTTTGTGTGTGTGTGTGTGTGTGTGTGTGTCTGTCTGTCTGTCTGTCTGTCTGTCTGTCTCCATATGAAGCTGAAGATTATTTTTTCAAATTCTGTGAATTGTGTTGGAATTTTGATGGGATTGCATTGAATTGTTAAATTGTTTTTGATAGGATGGCCATTTTCACAATATTACTCCTACCGATCTGTGAGAAGGGAAAATTTTCCCTCTCTTGGTGTCTTTCACTTGCTCGGTTAGAGTTATCCAAAGGTATTTTATTTTTGCTTAATTTTTGAGGCTATTGTGAAAGGTACTTTCATCTGGTTTCTTTATCATTATGCTTGTCATTTATATATAAGGAAGTCTACTTCTTTTTGTGTGCTAATTTTGTCAAAGAAATTTGATAGCATTAGTTGTGCCTGTACAAGAAAAATGAATGGTAAGGGTTGAGTGGGAGGAACTCTTGACTGATTGATTTCCTTCTTTATTTTGTACCACGTAACCGAATGGTCCATTTAAAAAATGCAAGTTTTTAGCCTTGGTTCATTTCCCTCCTTTCATCACTAGTTTTTTTTTTTTCTTTTCTTTTTCCCTTTCCCCTCCCTGACATTCTGGAGCAGTACAGCCAGGGTCTGAGAGGGATCTGCAAGTGAAAGGTTCTGACCCCGCTGCACTGTCCATGGATAACAAACCTTTTCCTCTCTGGCTCTACAGATCGACCTGCTGGTTGGGCCGAGAGTATCTTTGAGGAAGAGATAGCAGAACTTGAGCCTGTCCTCTCCAGGTAAACTTCTTTCCAGTTCTTCTGTTTCAGTCCAGGCAGGAGAGCTTCTCACTGGCTATGCTGAAGCAACTGGGGACGACTTTTTGCCAAGCCCCCTCTTTTCCCTAGTAAGCTTACAGAGGGCATGCATATATGCAAAAGCCAGGTAATGTTCTTGCAGGTGAAGAGCCCATGGATTCTTTCCTTGAGGGAGAAAACCTCCCGGCAGACGTGCTGGCTCACATGAGTACTCTGGTATACTTTACCAGGTGAATGGAGAATGGGGATAAGGAGTGTAAGGGGGTCTCAGCTTTCATTTCTGCTTCTAGGTTGATTTTAGCTGAGATCTCTAGCCACTTATTAGTATGGGCAGGAATTTGCTGAGACTGAGTAATATATTAGCTTTCCTTGCTGTGATAACAGACCCTGACAAACACTAATAAGGGAGGAAAGGCTTATTCAGGCGCAAAGCCATGGCTGGTCATGTGCACCTGCAGTCAGGAACAGAAACTGAACACCAGGCTTTGCCCACTTTCTCTGTTAAGTCCAAGACCTCTGCCTGTGGACTGGTGCCACCCACTGTTAAGGTGGGCTTCCTGTCTCAACCTAATCTAGGTAACTCCTCACAGGCATGCTTTCACCATCACAGCTCTACCTCCTGTCACCTGGACAACTAACCACATCACTTTTAAGCTATGTCTTTCCTCCCACGTATTAGGTTCCTGGCAGTCTCATAATACAAAATGCATTCAGCCTAAATTCAAAAGTCCCCATAGTCTTAGCAGATCCAACGCTATTTAAAAGTGTAAGTGATGAGCCTCTTCTGAAGTCACTGTAAGCCCCTAAGTAGGAAGGAAGCTTCCTGTGGAGACACACATCTTTAACCCCAGCCCTTGATCTCTGTGAATCTGAAACCAGTCCAGCTGGGCTACATAGTGAGTTCTAGGCCAGTCAGTGCTACATAGTGAAACCATGTCTCAAATAAATAAATAAATAAATAAAAATAATAAAAGCAAAGCAAAACAAAACAAAATCCAAACAACAAAAAGAAGTTGCATACTTCCAAAAAACAATGGCACAAAGTAAATATTCCCCTTCCAAAAGATCAAGATCCAGCAGGGATCTTGGAGCTCCATGCCAGCAGTGTGGGGCTCATGACAGAATCATCCAGATTCCAAAAGACTTGGGTAGTCCCGCCTCTCCAGCTGTGCTGCCAGTAGCACACATGGTTTCTCTCTCTGACTAGCTCTGCTCCATACCTCCAGATTTCCTTGGTGGATATACCATGGTTATGGCATCTCCCGTATTCTGGTGTCTTAGTTACTGTTCTATTGCTGTGATGAAACACCATGACCAAGACAGATAATAAAAGAAAGAAAGCATTTAACTGGGGGGTTGTTTAAGGTTTCAGAGTATTAGTTCATGGCCATCGTGGCAGGGGGCGTAGAGGCAGACAGGAGGGCATGGTGCTGAGAGCTTACATCTGATCCACAGGAAGTAGGCAGAGCGAGAGGATGGGACAAGAGGAGAGAGAGAGACTGGGCCTGATGTCAGCTTTTGAAACCTCAGAGCTCACTCCCAGTGACACATTTTCTCCACCAATGCTGTACCTCCTAGTCCTTCTCAATAGTCCCAGTAACAGGGGACCAAGTATTCAAACATGAGCCTATTCTCATTCAAACCACCACACCTGGTGGCTCCACTGAAACTTAAACTTTATCTTCTTAACGTTACACAGCCTCTCAGAACTCCTTACAGGGACTCTAACACTGCCACACATAGCCTGGCATCAGCAACATTTGAAATCAACATTAGGCATTATCCTTTACAAAATATTCATAGCCAGGTGGTGGTGGTGCACGCCTTTAATCCCAGCACTCGGGAGGCGAGGCAGGCAGATCTCTGTGAGTTTGAGACCAACATGGTCTACAAGAGCTAGTTCCAGGACAGGTTCCAAAGCTACAGAGAAACCCTGTCTTAAATAAATAAATAAATAAATAAATAAATAAAATAAAAAAAATAAAGCCACAGAGGAAGTGCTTTTGTTAGCTGACATCTTACCTTCTGTCCCTGTAGGACTATAGGCACCATCCAGCACTGCCTCCACCTGACCTCAGTGTACACCCATTTCCTGCCCCAGCATGGCCGCCCGGAGGTCACAACAATGCCCTTAGGGCTTGGGATGACAGTGGACTACATTTTCTTCTCAGCCGAATCCTGTGAAAATGAGAATAGAGCTGGTAAGTCTGGTGAATCTGAGGTTTCTAGAAGCCACCCTAGGGTGTCTGGCTATGGCTGATGGTAGGTGGCCTGGCTTGGGTTTCAGGGACCTGAGCATCACAGGAGCAGTCATTCCGTCAGTTCTGTGCACATTCTTTCTGCAGACTACCTACGTACAGTGTCAGGGTTGGGGGGTGGGGAACAGTCATTCCTATTCCCATCACAGAGATAATTACTAGAAGTAATTAGACTTGTCTAGGGGCAGAAATTGGGGAGGGACTTTGTAGGGCCAGACTCTGTTTCTTGTAACTGGAAATTTCTTTCCTGTCTGCCAGTTCTCAAATTACCACTCTGAGGCTTAACATTAATTACAAACTGTTTGTCCTATTAGCTCAGGCTTATTATTAACTAGTTCTTATAACTAGTATATATTTTACCATGAGGTTCTTGGCTTGTTACTTCACATCTTGCTTCTCCAGCTGCTGGTGTCTCTCAGACTTCTCTTTTCTCACTGTATCTTTGCTTGGATTTCCCACCTGGCTCTATTCTACCTGGCTATTAGTCAAATCAGCTGCTTTATTAACCAATTATAATAAGTGTAACATGAGGGTCGGCTTGTTGGGGTTTCTGTCCCGCCCGGTACCCCACAACCGGCAAACCCCAAAGAAAATCACACACAGGACTCCATAAGGTTATAAACTGATTGGCCCATTAGGTCAGGCTACTTATTAGCTCTTATAACTTATGTTACCCCATTATCCTTATCTATGTTAGCACATGGCTCCGTACCTTTCTCAGCAGGGCAGGTTACATGTTGCCTCTTCAGTGGTCTGCACAGGAATGGCTGAGGGTGCTTCTGCTTCCAGAATACTCACAGTCTCTTTGCTCTGCCCCTCCTTCCTGTCTGGCTTTTCCCTATACTGCCTGCCTGGCCAATCAGTGTTTTATTAAAATATGATTGACAGAATACAGACAATTCTCCCACACCAAATAAGACATATTCACAGCATACAGAAGGGAATTCCATATCAATTTCTTCTTGCCATTAGTTATGGAGAGCAGTGTGCCAGCCCTATGCTTAGTGTGCTTGTTACTTTTGTAATGTTTGAATTAATTGCCTATATTTAGAATCATATTTTATATAAGGAGTCTATATTTATGTGTCTTAAAAAATCAAAAACTTTGTAATATTGGACCCAGAGCCTGTGGCCTGTGTTCCATTTGTCCCTGTACCTGTCTTTATTCACTGATGTTATCACAGGGAGGCCTTCTAGTCAGAATGTCAGGTGTGTGTGTGTGTGTGTGTGTGTGTGTGCGCGCGCGCGCACGTGTGTGTGCATGTAATGTGATTTAAAGTGCAATCTCTGGGACTGGAGAGATGGCTCAGAGGGTAAGAGCACTGACTGCTCTTCCAGAGGTCCTGAGTTCAATTCCCAGCAACCACATGGTGACTCACAACCATCTGAAATGAGATCTGGTGCCCTCTTCTGGTCTGCAGCATATATGTAGGGAAAAAGCTGTATACATAATAAATAAATTAAAAAAAAATAAATAAAGTGCAATCTCTGAGGTCCACGAATAGTATGTAGCATGGCTGTTGACTGTTGTACCTATTGGTTTCTGCTTTGTGCCCAGATCACAGGTTGGATAGAGATGGAACTCTCAAGCTCCTGGGCCGCCTCTCCCTCCTCTCTGAAGAGATTCTCTGGGCTGCCAATGGCTTACCCAACCCCTTCTACTCTTCAGACCATCTCTGCCTGCTTGCCAGCTTCGGCATGGAAGTCACTGCCCCATGAGGGCCCCCAGGGAAAGAGCTCACCGGATCGACGACTGCAGATGCCCCGTGCTGTGGAAACTTGTGTCCCTCCCCTCATCCCCTCCTGCCCGTGGTTAGACTTTCTCCAGGCCTGTCCACGTTCTCTGCCTGTGGTCCCTGCCCTGCCCCAACTTCTTCCTAATCCTGTGCCACATGCTAGGTGGCCCTGGGAGAGGTGGAAAGCACTCCCTTTCCTTCCATGTACCCAGAGCCCCCTCCTCCATTGATTTTTAATGACCAGGGTTGCGGGAGTTATTGATCTCATTGGTTATTTGCTTTCAGGCCATTTCTTGGTGGCACCCCCTGACCTAACTTCTCCCTACCTTTATAACCTCTGGGCTCTGGCATGCACATGCAAAGTGTGTATAAAGTATGAGTTCTCCAGGGGGGACTGCCCAGCACAGCCAGCCTGCCTCTGCCTAGTTCATGTGCCACCATGAGGTGCTGGGGTAGAGGCAGGTTGAGAGCATGACACAGTAGCTGTGTGCTGCCGGGAGGCAGCAGGTATGGGACCCTTTATCCTCTGAGTTTCATTAGTCAGTCACCTAGGCAGCCTGGGTACACTTGTTATTTCTAGAGACAGATTGGCCCACAGCCTGGAGCAGCAGCTCAGGGATGCACCATACACCAGAACTCCTTGGACCCTGATGATGTGGTAGGACTTCTCTGAAGAAGGCAATTTGACATCTTGTGTCGGGGTTCAGTGGGCTGGCGCAATGGTGTGACGTTTATAGCATTTTAAGGATAGGAAAATGGACCTTTATGGAACTGTTGTCTCACTGGACTCTGCAGAACTGGGCAAGAGTTGAAGTCCCAGTAGAAAGAGCAAGAGGCTCTCCAGCTGCCTTCATCAGTACTGGAGCCCCAGGGGGCTTGTTCTCTGACCCCTGTACACCTTCTCACTTTACCCCTCCCCCCGCCTTCATTGTTCCTTTCTATTTTCTCTCTAGAGAAGCCTGCTGTTTAGCTCAGTCCAAATCATCTGAACAGAAGCCTAGCTTTGTGCAAACTCAGGGTGGCAGTGCTTGCATATTTGCTCTGCCTTTCCTCCCCAAACATGGGACCCCTACCCTCTCAAGACCCTCATAGCCCATACCATGTCACCTGCATGCCTTACTCATTGCTGGGGTTATAGTCTAAGGTGTCCTTGGGCCAGATCCTTCACATAGCTTTAACTCAGTATCTGCCCTTGTTGGTTGTCTGCTCCATTTCCCCTGGAGAGGAGGGAGTGGCTGAGAGGCTGTGGCTAGGGATGATGGGTCAGACGTACGTTCTTTCCTTTCTCTGAAAGCCAAAGACCTGGCTGGAATGCTGCACATTGCTGACTCTCAGCTTCCCAAGCTCAGGCTCTGGGGAACTCCTTTTCCTGTGTGTGTCTACTTTTAAGCTTTGTTTTCTGGGTACTGGATGTATGCCTGTCTGAGCCCCAGGCCCGTCTGTCCACAGCCCACTTTTCACCATCTCTTTCTGGGCACCCCCTGAGATGGTTTCACGACCATGCCCCGTTGGTTCTGGGGAGAAGGGCCAATGACTGTTCCCTCTGCCAGGAAATACAGGTTCAGCTGCTAAGGAAGCGGGAGGGCCAGAGTTTGATGGTTTATCTTTTCCTTGTTTCTTAATTGTTTCTGTTTTAGAAATGAAGTGTGGGGGTTTAAATGGCATTTAAACTGCACTCTGTAGCCGGCAGAACCAGGCAACGTTTATCCAAATAAAGGCTTATCATTGCCACTTGCATTGTTGGTCTTTTCCTTAGGACTCTGAGAGGCATGGGGTTTAAGAGAAGGTTGGAGATGTGGAGGGCAGAGAGAGGGTCTGGGGATCCTGGGGGTGGGGCCTTAAGTGAGGATGGGGCCTTGGGATCTAAATGGAGAACAGAAAATCCTGCCATCTGCCCGTATTCTTCCCTCTGCTCTGGGGCTTGGGAGGAACAGGGCTTGAATGAAGTCCCCCACCCTGCCCTTTGCAGGGTACAGCTGCCTTCTCTGTCCCCCGTGAGAAGAGAAGGGCTCTAATTTAGCTGCTTTTCACTCTTACTCCATCTGCTGCTTTGCATCTCGTAGATTGTAGACTTGCAGATGGATCGGTGTGGAAAGTGGGATGTTCCTGGTCAAAGCAGTGGCAGCTGCGTGAGGCATGATGTGTGTGGCAGATGCCCCTTGCCGGGTATCTATTTCTGATCATCTCTTGTAGTCGGAGCCAGGGTTGAGCCGTGGCCATCTGTCGTTGGAAACACTTCTCTTCCTTGCCGGGCCTAACTGCCAGTACTTATGTCCTTCTCTGGTCTTCATATGCACTACACCAAGCCAAGGCCTCGTGAGATGAGCTGTGGTTTTCTTTCTTACCTCCACAGCTTGTCAGCCCTGTACTCAATCTCCCCAGGGACCTGGCATTATTTAGAGCTGCTGGCGCCAGAATCCACTGATTTAAGAGAAAGCAACTTTATCCAGGGATTTGGATTAGGGTGCCTTACCTTGGCCAGTTTGGTTGATGAGTAGGTAAGTCACTGACTCCCTCCGCCTTTCAGTTTGCATCCTTTGGTGAAAGGAAGTTGAAAGAGTACTTCCAAGGTGGGTTTAGGTTTGTGTTGCTAGTGCCGCGGCAAGAAAGGGATGCTAAGAATGCCCAAAAAATTCTGGTAGACTGGGGAGGATGGTTGTTCCCAGGAAGGTCAGATGGGCTGGGAAGTCTTTGAAAGCTCCAGGCTTTGAGTTACAGTTCTAGTGCACTTTGTTCCCTGCATGGAGGGTCCCCCAGTGCCTCAATCCCTAAACACACACTCAGAATGTTGGTTAGCAGTTTATACTGAGCTTCCACTTAATGTGTGTGTGTATGCGTGGGCGCATGTTCAGGTGGGTGCGCGTGTGCATGGATGCTTGTGAATGTGTGCACATGCATGTGGCGATCAGAGACCAACTGTGGGTGCCATCCTTCAGGATCTATCTACCCTGTTTTTTGAGACAGGGCCATTCAATGGCTTAGGACTTATAAAGTAGTCTAGACTGGCTGGGCAGTAAGCTCCAGGGATCCCTTCTGCTTCCCCAGTGCTGGGATTACAAGAATGTGCCGGCATGCCCAGTCTTACGTTGGCTTTAAGGATCCAACTCAGGTCCTCAGGCTTGCACAACAAACACTTTATGGAGCGATTTCCCCTTCCCACTAGAAGGCAGTCGGGGTGTGGCCTTGACAACTCTTTCACCCAGCCACAAGCTCAGAGTCTTGAAGCTTGGCTTAATTTCTTGCCGATTTACGCTCCTCAGACATAGCCTTCCCAGAGGAACAGGGGAGCCAGGCTTTCTTGCAGGTTGCCCTGTAGGACAGGGGCCTGGAAGAGCTCAGAAATAGCTTTCAGCTAGAGGGAAGGGAAGGGATCCGGTCAACCAGCTTCTTCCGCTTTTCCTTTCCAGTTCCTGTGCTGGTATGTAGTGAGCCCCTGGAGAACGGGGTTTTGGTATGTTAAGTAATCTACACCGCAGTTTCTCTTTTCCCAGGGCATGAAAGCCCATCTCTACAGTTTCAACCAGGAACACGCTGTCTGGGACCCAGGGCCCCCAACAGCCTGCTGTACCTTTGCCTGTCCTTTAATTGCTGAAGACAAGAGGCATCTAGAAAGCCTGGTGAGGTTCAGTTCACTCTGGGGCAGAAGAATGTGAACTCCTTGTGTTTTGCAGAGAAGTTGGCCCCTCTGTACTATTCCCAGTCCCTATGGCCCACCGAGCGGGACAGCTAGCTCTGAGAGAATGACGTCTTATATTCTATTACACTTAACAGTCTTGGAAATCTTGTTTTCCATTAGCAAGTTCTCTCTGGATAGGGATTGCAAAGAGTTGTCATGTGTGGGCTGGCTCAACGAGTTAGCCGGTCTGTCTCCTCCACCTGTCAGGCCTTAACAGCTGGTTCTCCACCCCCTTGGCAAACACTTAAGTGTTGCCAGGCAACCTTAGTGCATCTGGGTCAGTCTTAGCCCTTGGTATGACAGTTGTTTCCCTTTGCCACTACCCTCCACAGTAGCAGTCGAAATGCTGGGTCCTGGCAGATGGGAAGGACGAGTCAGTCCTTCAATCTCTTCAGGGCTTTTGGGAAGTGTCAATTTAGTCACGTGCCTGAATAGGAAGGGCCAGGCTGTGTGCCTGGGAGAGGCCAGGTAGCAGAAAATAAGGCAAATGCTTCCCCCAGGAAACGGGGTTCTGAGCGGCCCAGAGGTCAGCAGCAATGCATCTGCATTCTATGAAAGTGGCTCAGCAGTGACCACGATGAACCTGGCTCACTGATGCCCTAGGCTCACCTCAACTCATCCCTATCCCTGAATTCAGGAATAGTTCCAGGCCCACTGGGGCTGCCCACCAAGTCCTCTGCTGTGCTTCACTGTAGCTAGGCTTACATGTGTAGACAGCACATCCTTATGGATTTCCGTGCATTCACCATATTCACAAATTCTAGTTACCTTTGTGTAAATGTTAGTTTTAAGTTGGGGGGGGGCATTTTAGCTGGCAACAAAACTGCCTCAATTTAAGTGGTCACCTTAAGTTAAGGGGTCAAGCTACCCCTAGATATTAGCAGATCGCCTCTCCTCCCCAGCTACAGTGCTGACCCCAAGCATTGTGATCTGGTCATCACAGCACTATAAATGACAGAGGCTTGCTGGGTTAAAACCGTCTTTGCCAGGACAAGGTAGGGTTTGCTGTCCTGTAACACGGCCTCCTCTCTACAGTCTGCGTTTTACTATTAGGCTTGTGAGACACGGGGAATGAGTCTAGCTGACAAAGGCTGCATTTCTTGTGCGCCTTGGCTTGGTTTCCGGTGTTTGCACTTAGTGTGAGTGGGCAAGAGGCTCGGCACCAAAGGACAATGGAGAGGACAGCGGGTCCAGCGGTTTCCCCAAAGCTGTGGAGAAGGAACTTCAGATTTCTGTGGTGGCTTCCCAAAAGGAACTGTCTGTCTTTCTCCTTTCTCCTGATTGACTGTGGAGGGCTAGGGCATGGCTATATCCTCGGAGCTGTGTGAGGAAGAGGCACCTGGCAGCAGGATGGGAAGCCTGCTCCCCAATTAGGACTAGCAAGAGCTGACTAGCTCTGACAGGCTGAGAGTCAGACTCCAGAAACCCCATCACAGCTTGCCAGGGCTAGGAGGCTTCCTGTTCCCCACTCTTTGGTTCTCCTCCCATCTGCTTAGGATCTTGGCTTCTTCCTGCAGTCAGTGGGGCTGATGAGTGTGGGAATGGGCTTGGGCTCCAGCTCCCAAAGTGAAGCAGACAAGGTTTCATGTGATTTCTGCCAGCCCATACAAGAGGAGCTGGGGAGACTTTATTCATTTCGGGGAAGAAAGTGAGAAAGGAATGAGACAGAGTGTGTGGCGAAAGGAAGGGGTAATACTGATACAAAGACGGATAATGACATCCAGGGCAACACAGCAGTCGGACAAAGCACAGGGGGTGGATGGTCCATCATCACGGGCCCAGGGCTCTACTATATCCAGACTTCTCTTTAGACTTAACAAGGAGGCTTGGGACCCCAAAGCACTGCGCTGGATGGAGTGAGAGGGTCCTAGCAAGGGACTTGCAGCTAACACTGTGGCAGCCCCGTCTGCCCCGAGATGCTGGTGGGAGGCTGTGGTACCCAGCAGGATTAACCCTTAGCTCCCACCCACTCCTCCTAGAATAGCCTTGCCTTTTACACCTCTGGCTTATTGGTTCTTCACCTGCACATCCTTGCACTCGTAACACCACTGGCAGCAGGTCAGGGTGGGGCAGGCATGTGCTAAGCCAGAATTCATTCCAGGCAGGAAAGCCAGGTGTACATACACACAGACCTCAGGGTACTCACTGCACAGCTATCATTAGACCTATTCCCTTGAGCCAGGGAGTCATCCCAGCTGGAAGGGGATGGGGCATGATACGACAGAAAGGACTAGACATCAGCCATGGTCAGTTTTCTGAGTCTGCTTCTCAGTACCCAGTCTCTAGGCTTCATCATCGAGTCTGGAGCCAGGGGGCTGCTGCTTGCCCAGTTGGCCATGCCCACTAAGGATGGGTGGCTGGCATGAGGGAACAGGGGAGCATGGAAATGTGAGGCTTTGGAGGGAAAGGACTGGCAGGTAGCTGGGTGGGGAGGAAGGTTCTCTGACCAACACCAAGGAACCTCTGTCCCAGGCCACCTCTCGCAAGGAACTTCCTCTGCCCTCACCTTGACCCGCCTCAGCCAGCAGTCCCCAAGGGTGGGTCCGAGAAGCTAAAGACAGGCGTGAGCCAGGAGGTCTGGGGTCACACCTGCCAGGTCCCTGTCCCTCATAGGAAGTGAGATGAAATGATGCCATGGGTGGCGACTAAGGCCCCAAAGTCCCTGCCCCTGCCTCTGCCAGAAGCCATCCAGCCAGGCTGGCCCCCAGAAAGCACAGCCTGTGTAAATGGCCCCAGAGGGGAGGATGACTTGCTACATACGACTAAAGAGTAAAAAATAAAAAAGCACCATGGTGGCCCATGACAGTCTCCACAGGCCGGAGGTCCTTAGCTCAGGAGAGGTGAACAGCACGGGGCGGGGGGGGGGGGGGGGGGGGGGGGGGTCACATTGGCCATCAGCTGTTCCTGCACACCCGGAACAAGTCAGTGCCCCACCCACCTGCTCCCTTCTTTCCCAGGACCACATACCTGACTCCAGATCCCCTTACAGCCCTTTCTCTCATATTCTGTCACATCTTGACGTTCCCAGAGACATACAGGGCCACGGATAAGCAGCCACGTTCAGATCCAGAAAAAATCTTGTCCAGCCTTGTACCTCTCAAGGCAGACACGGGAACATGGGGACCACTGCCCTACTTCCTGAACTCTGAGGTGAATCAAATAGTGTTATGCCTCTTTGGGGCTCCAGATATGGGCCTGGCCAGGGGTATAGCCTAGGGGAAGGCTATGCACTTTCCAGGGACCCGGACCCCAGGAGGAACCAGGTGAGACAAGGGACAAAGCAGTCAGTGTCCCATCCCCCCACCCCCACCCCATGGCGCCTGTGCTGGGTCCCACGGGCCTGGCTCTGGGTCTAGGAGCTGTTGGTGTGATGGGCACTCAGCGTCTGTGTGACATAGGCCAGCAGCAAAGGCATCCCTCCTTCTCTTCCTCTTCCTCCTCCTCCTCTTCCTCCTCCTCCACTTCCTCCTCCTCCTCCTCTTCCTCCCCCTCCCCCTCTTTACTTCCAGCCACCATCCATTTCCGGGCAGGCAAGAGCTTCACCATTCCATCCCATTGTACCCCCTCTGGTGAGCCAGCAACCACAGCGTGGTCTCTGTAGGGTGGGGTAAGGGGATGACACAGGAAGCGGGCCCTTTCTGCCCCTGGGAAACTTAAAACCGTCACTTTTCCACTCGCAGCGCCACAGGAGTCCCCCACAGGCAGCCCAAGCTCTCTACCCGAGAGGCTCTATTCTCACCTATAGCGATCATTTCTTGAACTGATTGTTAACTTTTAAAATTACAATTCATTTTCTAAAATTCAGAGCCTTGACCAAAAAACCAAAAAACCAAAGCAACCCCCCCTCCAAACTACCTCGTAGGGCCTGCCCTGTGGGAACAGTAGAACACACAGCCCACTTTAATGGGGTGTGCTCTTTCCTGGACACAGTCCCGCCCAGCACTCTTCCTGCTGGCCCTGCAAGCATTTGAGTTCTGTCGCACTTATCCAAGCCCTCTACTCTCTGCAGCCACATGGCAGCGGCTCTGACCGACTCTGCTTCTCAGGAAAGCCCATTCATGGTCACCTCATCCCGCTATCCTGTCACTTAAAGCCCCCAGCAACCTGACCAGTACCGTCTGCGCTGCAGGGACCGCAGTCCCCACACGGCCCCATCCTGCCCTGGCTCCCACTGTCTCACCTACACTCCCAACTCCTGGGCTGTCTCTCCTCCCCCAGCCCTGACAGCCCCTCTCCACTCCTCACTTTCCTATCCGGGATCTCTTGCCTGAGGGCCGGGAAAGAGACAACTCCTGCTGCTGCCTGCCTGGCCTCTTCTCTTCCAGTGCCCCCTGGATCAGCTCAAGTTGGCCGCTACCCCAAGCCTAAATGGGCCTTGGGTGTCCTTCCTGGTCTAGTCTTGTTTCCCAGCAAGGGCTGAGATGATTAGACCCGGAGAGAAGAGCGCACTCACACAACTTAGGGCCCCACTCAGCTACCCATCTCCGGGCAGTTTCTCAAGGTCATGGTATCCTCAGTGCAGTTCTGGGCTCTCCACAAAGTCCAGCCCTGCTGCAAGGAGTCCCCTGGCTGCAGCAATAGTCAAGACTAGACTGAACCAGTCTAGTGTGCTGGGGGCCAGGGACTCTTCCCTGAACAGTCCTCTCCGAGTTCGCCTATAGCCTAATGGCTATGGTGAGTGTGTGTGTGTATGTGCCTGTGTATGTGTTGGGAGGGGCACAGCGCTGTCTAAAGAGTCACACTGACTCGAGGGCTCTCCTGGGTCACAGGCTCCCACCTTAAGCAGATGTGCCTCCACCACGTTCCTGATTTGAGGGCTACATGGACCTTTCTCAGGGGGACCCCTACCCTGCTTCCCTTTCCCTGGGTCATGATTCTCCATCCCGACCCCACCCCACCCTCACCCCACAGACTGGCGAGGCTCGCCAACCTCATCACTGCTGACTGGAGCACCACAGAGCCAGCAACCCCTCCTCCCCAAGCCACGGAGTGCTCAGAGAGAGCAAGCCTTGCCAGCTACCAGGATATCCGCGTGTCTTTCCCTCCAAATACCTTAAACTTCAGTTGGAGGGTTAAAACTCCAAAGGAAATACTAACTGCTTCTTGGCCCAAGGTTAGGGGCTTGGCTCCACGGGAGGGGAAGTTACCTGGGGCTGATCTGCAAGGCATCCTTCCTGCCTCCCACCCCTAGCCTACCCCATCACCAGCCCCTGCCTGAAGGAGTAGATTCTTTCGTGCAGGTAGGTCAGGGCCTCCAGAAGCAGAGGAGGCCTGGGGGTGCTGGCAGCGGTCTCACACACGGATCTGGTACCCATTGAGGTCTGGCATGGCTTTGGGCTCTGCAGGCTTCTTCTCCCCTGATGGCCTGAAGAAGAGAAACAGAGGGTTCAGAAGAGGAGCAAGTGGTTCCTAGGGAGATGGAGAACAGGGAGGGAAGGAGGGAGGGAAGGAGGGAGGGGGCTGTCCAGCTGGCTTCCCTCCTCTAAGGGGTCTTTACAGCAGCAGCAGAGGGTCTAGGGACTGTTTCTGGAACCTAGTCAGCCAGCCTGGGGTGTCCTAGGTGATCCCCTACTGCTGCCACATGGCCTCTTGCTCAGGCTGATGGTATTTTAGCGCCAGAAGTCTGCTCAGCACCCCTCCCTTCGCAGCGGACAGGTGACTCCAGAAGGACAGTTATATTAAAACAAGAGCCAGGATGATATGTGGGAGAGGGCGCCAGAGCGAGAGGCCTGGTATTTAAATAGCAAGTCTTGCCATCTGAGCCCAGACAAAAGCCTCGACCACAGGGGCAAACGTTGTGTTCGAAGCCTTCTCTCCTGGCTGTGCAGCCTTGGGTCATAGACAGAGTCCCTCCAGCAAAGCACAGGAGCGCTCAGGGCCTTGTGGGAACCCTACAGAATCCATCCTCCCTCTTCAGTCCATTCTGCTGTCTACCTCAGACAACTGGGGATGTTTTCTTTGGGGGGAAATGGCACCACATCACCATAGGCAATGCCAACACACCAATGTCTGGACCCGGCATCCCACGTGACTTCTCAAGGAGAAATGGATGGGAAGGAGAAAGGAATGAGGAAGGGCCAGGAAGAGGAGAGAAGCCTCCTTTCTCACCGTCTCTCACTGCGGCTGTTCCGGCGGTGTGGGCTGGACTGGGCTCTCTGCGGGGAGGAAACATCCTTCTTCCGGTCCTTGGTGGGAGAGGGAGGGCCTGTCCCCTTGCCAATCTGGATGGGGAGGAAGAAACAAAAGCATGTTCTGGGCCGCCCCATGGCCCACTCTGTCAGGAGTGTCCTTGGAAGCTGCCCTGGGCACTGTGCACTCCAAGCCTCAGGTAGCCTTTGCCTTGTTTCTGGGTCACCCTGGCACTTAAGCCACCAGGGCAGTAGATTCTTGGTAGGTCTGTCTACTCCGAGGGTTCTGAACACAGTGCGGGAGTTGTCACTGGGCTGCCACAGGCCGGAAGACATCTTTAAAGAAAGACCTTTCTACCCAGGCGAGGTAGTTGTGCCTGCCAGATGGGGCTATGGCAAATGCCTGGGACAAGTCCTACCAGCCTGACGGTGACACTGACTATCTTAGGCCAATCAGATGTCAGTCTGGTAACTGTAACTCTGATTCAGAAAAACAAAATGAAAAAAACAAAACAAACAAAAAACCGAGTCAGCCTTTATGTAGGATGGTCAGCCTGCTTTGAATTTTCTTCTCTCCCAGACAAATGGGGAGCTGAAAAAGAAGCAACATGGGGAGTCTAGTGCTGAGCAGGTCCAGTCAAAAGCACAGAAGAGGGAATCTTTAGGCTGCCTGGAAAACACTGAACCCCGGGGTGCAGGGCCTGGGAGAAGGGAGCGGCTTCAGCACGGAGACAGTCTCTGTAATGCAGGTCTATGGCAGCATCTACCTTAGGGGAAGACAATGTTAACTACGGGGTTTGGTCACAGTGTAGTCGGGTTGTGGAGGCTCGCTACCCTACCCCACCACCCTCTCAGATAGACCAGGCACTGTTTCTTCCATTCAACACACCCTGGCTCGATGTACCACGTCCCTGGCCTTCCATGTCCAAGCGTATGCCTGGGCAAAAGCAGCTCACTCCCTTCCTCCTCCTAGAGCAGGGTTCTTGGTCTGCCCACCCAAGGTTCACCTTCAACAGTAGGACTTTTTTGAGTAATGCCTGATACGGAATCCAAGTAGATACTTCATTCTCAGGCAGCCCCTACTGGTCAGGACAAGCCAGTGAAAGCAAGGAGAATCCTCTGAGAAAGCAGGGGGACCACTGCTGATCCTAACCTTGAGACGCATATCTCGGGCGTGACGCTCCAGCTCCTTGCGGAAGTCTTCCCGACCCAGCCTCTCCACGTCCAGCACCGAGTGCTTCCACTCAATCTGTTCCACGCTGTGGGGGTCGTGGGATACGCACTGGCCCAGCTTTACCTTCTTCAGCACGTGCCAGCAGCGGCCATAGGCCGCCTCATAGTCCAGCACGAGCTCACTGAGTGTGCGGAAGGCTGGAGGCTTATACATCAGGTCCTCCCTGCGGCTCATGCCCAGGGCTCCGTAGCGGCCCCCAAAGTTCACTCCCAGCACAATGTGGCGGAAGTAGTTCCCTGAGAAATAGGTCTTGAAGCTGATGGGGAAACGTTCCAGGGTGGGCATGCTGTTGGTGAGGTAACTGGTGAAGCGGTGAGTTATGGAAAGCGACGGGGCAGGATGGTGTATGAGTGCCAAAGAGTCCCTAAACGGGACAAACTGGCCACAGATACCTGTCTCCCTCCCCAGCGTCCTGACTGGGGTCCCCGCAGATGACTGCTTCTCCGGGGAGACTTGCCAGCCTTCCTAGGTGCTCCCCTGCCTTGGGAGGGGTCTGGGCGAGAAGCCCTGTACATCCTTGCAAGTAGTTCTGTTTCCGAGACCCCATCTGCCTTCTCTACAGATCAGCACTATCTGGACGCGCCAACAGCAGGCCTCCCGGCTGCTGCTCCGGGACTTAGAAACGGCGGGCACGACAGCTCTGTACCCAGATGTGAGTGCCAAAACCAGGGTCACCTTGTCTATGTTGCTATCCAGCAGGCCTGGCATGGTGGCTAGAAGGAACACTGAGACAACAACCTCCTCAAGGATCCTCTCTTTTTCAGGGATTCCTCCACTTAGGGAAGCCGCTCCTTGCTGGGGCCCAAGAGAGGCTAGCAATGGTGGGAGCCCCGGAGCCCTGAAGACCCTCCCCTTCACAAAAGCCAGCCAAGGCACTCTGAACCACTCTCTCCCAGGCCGAGGAAGGATACATTCCCAGGATCACAGCTTCCAGGCATTTGATTGGCAGAGCCTCTTTGGTCATTTCCTTGGCCAGGTCCATCAGCCTATGAGAAAGGGAGGCGGAGCTGTGTGGCGAGCGTCTTCAGCCCCCTCAGGCTCTATTTGGTGAGGAGCCAGAAAGACTGGGGCAGAGACTGCCCTCCAAGACGTCACCCTCCCGGGCCTGGTGTTTCCTCCCCCTCCCAAGCCTTGAGTCTGAGGTGGTGACCCAAGGGCAGACCCTGGAGCTCAGGAAGTAGGCCTACTCTCTCTGCACTTCCCTCCATTCGCTTCTTCCTCCCTGGCCAGGCTCCTGCTTAGACTTCCGGAGAGGGGAGCATGAATGGCGGGCCCCACGCAGTGCAATAGGGCTGAGGGGAGGGGAGAAGCTTAGCATTGATGGATGCCTTTCCAGAGCACAGCCAGCAAACACTCCTCATCTAACCCTAGCGGACAGAAGAGCTTGCTAACTGATGGAAAGTACTCTCTGCAGCCTGGATGTAGGATCTCGGGAAGACAGCTGGCCCTGCCTGCCCCTGAGCTTGGAATTTAGCCCCCCCCCCCCGCTGGGGTTTTTCTAGACATGGTTTGTCTGTGTAGCCCTGACTGTCCTATCCTGGAGTTCACTCTGTAGACTAGGCTGGTCTCGAACTCAGAGATCTGCCTGCCTCTGCCTCCCAAGTGCTGGGACTAAAAGTGTGGGTAGCCTGGCAAAAAATCAGGCCATTTCAAAACAGCCTATCCTCCAGGTCTGGGGCCTCAACTTGGCCACTGGCTTTGCCTGGGACTCCTGTATCCTATGGGAAGATGGAATGGGACACCAGCACACAGCAGCAACTGAAGGACAAGAGCAAAGCCCAGGATCAGAGAAGGTGGGTTCGGCCCAAGAATTTCTAGACGGGGCAATTACTTAAATAAGCAACTCAGGGTATCCCCCCCTCTCCCGCCACAACTAAGGATAGAAGCACCTTCAAACAAACTGTCTAGAACAAGCGATTCGGTCTACATGCTGAGTCTGCATGGTGAGTCACGATAGGCTAGGAAGTGAGAGAAGCAGTCTCTTTCCTGTGGGAGCTGATGCTTAGACACTGGACTTTCTACTTCATGACCAGGAGATTCCAGGACAAACTGGGTAAGTATACAGGTGCCTTGTGATGCAGAGAGCATGGGAGGCTTCAAGGAAAGAAGAGGGAGAGGTTCTTCCCTGCTCCCACCCCACCTCCACCCTGCCCACAGCACCTATCTACCGACAACCAGACAAGCCGAGGCGGGGGGGGGGGGGGGTTACCCTAGAAGCCTTGGGTGGCTATCTCATCGGGATTTCCGTTCCCAGGGTAGCGCCCTTCCCCCATCCTATGGCTGGCTTTTCTCAGGGAAGTCCCTGCCTACCTTCTTAAGCTGTCACTCAAAGGCAAACCACCGAGGTTCCCTAATGGGATCAAACCCAAGGGGAGGGTGGGGGAAACCCTGAGAGCCCGGGCCAGAAGCCTGGTACTTACCCTGTCAGAGGTCTGCTCTTCTTAATTTCAAAGAACTGTGTCCCTGTGTGATTGTACCTGGAGATAGTAGTTAAGGGCTTCCTGGCTTGGTCGGGAAGGCTGTGTCTTTCTCTTGGCTGCCACCCCAGAGGCCAGGATAGCTACAGAGGGACCCCTTTGCAACGTGTGCCACGGAGCACCATACGGGCCGCTTAGGACTTGTTCTCTGGGAAGAGGAACTAGGGTCCAGCTTGGGGGCTCTCCTTGCTCTCGCGGTTCTTCTCCCCACTCTTTGCAGTCTCCCCCATTCTCTCCTTCCCTCCTGTCTCAGCACAGGACATTGAGTAGGCAGCCAGCCCAGCGGGGCTGAGAAAGTAGCCTTAGCTGGGGGCAGCTCCTTGGAGCGCTGGGTTTTCCAAACAGCTAAGAAGGCTGGTAGGCCACCACCTTCCCTGTGCCAGCTAGTTTTATGTTCAGCTTCACACAGGCTAGAGTCACTCGGGAAAGGGGAACCTCACTTGAGAAGATGCCCCTACTAGACTGGCCTGTGGTGAGTTCTCGTAGTTAGTGATTGATGTGGGGAGGGGGCCCAGCTCATTGTGTGTGGTGCAACCCCTGGGCTGGTGGTCCTGGATGCCCTAAGAAAGCAGGATGTATGAGCCACAAGGAGCAAGCAAGTAAGGAACACAGAACCCAGGAAACATGGCTTTTGGGCAGAAACCAGGGGCCCAGAGCAGAGACATAGAGGAGCTGGCCTGCTGCCAGGGAAAAAAAAGTGCCAAGAATTGGGAGAAAACTTCAAGATATGGATAATATATCTTGGAGCAAAAGATCCCTTTCTCTCCTCCATCCTCCCAAACCCAGCCCTGAAACAGCCCCAAAGAACGTCTTCCATCCCTTTGCTGGGCAGGATGAATGACAACTGACTCCCCCTTTTCTCATCAAGGTACTTAGGAGGCCCTTTCTCTCCCTACAGGTGCACGCACATACACGCACACACACGCGCGCGCACACACACACGCGCGTGTGGAAACTGGTGCTGGAGAAGCTGGAACGGGTCCAGCACTCAGACACAGCCTTGGCAGCTCCAGGGAACAGAAATGCCAGTGAATGGCAGCTCTGGAGTCGGGAGGGAGCTGGCTCTGAGGATCCCTATCCAGGCCCCACTTGGTCTTTGGGGCTGTCACTAAGTGGTGGCCACAGCTCTGGACCCAAGAGGATACTGCAGCTCCCTGATGTAGCGCTGCACGGCTTCCAGGCGCTCGGGGATGGGCGTCGTCGGCTGGAAAGTAGGCACACTTGGTATGGGAATCTAGGGACAGATGGAGGAAAAAAAGCTCTGTCACATGGATAGGCACACCCCGGAGCCTCCAGCGCCCCCAGAGCAACAGCCAGGGGAGGCTCCTACTCTGAGCCGCCTTCCCTGGGAACCCTTCTTTCCCAAGCCTCCTCCCAGGCCTCCAGCTTAGCCATCCCTGATACCTGATTGTACCTCTAATGTGGAACTTAGGTTGACTTTGCAATTTTATGCTGTTAAATCGTTTTAGAAAAAAAACAGGAGGATCCACTGACTGTATTAAATTTAAAATATGCATTAATTGATGCTTAACAAGAATGTCCGTATTGGGGCTAATTTGTTTGGGTTTGGGGGTTCACTCTGGTCTATGGCTCGGATGTGGCAAAGGTGTTAGACACTTTGTCCCTGGGTAGGTTCTAGATAGAAGTATTAGGGTACTGCAGGCACACCCTTGGAAAGGCAGAAGGCAGTTCTCAGGGTTGTCATCAAAGGGGCGGAACCAGCTCCTCCTTCCTATGGCCTCTTGTTTCCAGTGTGATCTGCCTCCCCATGCTCCTGCCAGGATGCCATCCACTGACATCAGACCTTCCCACAGTCTCAACCAACACAGGCCCCTCCAGTCCCCAAAGCTGCAAGCTAAATAAACCTCATTTCTTCCTAAGTGTCTTGCCTCAGGCATTTCATTACCACAACGAGAAAACAGCCTGATCAAAACTGTGTTTCCACAGTGTTCCATTCTACCGGGTGGTACCGTAAGCTAGTGGATCTAACCTAGACCCCAGGGATGTCCGTGGCAGGACAGGTGTGCCAGAACTTCCAAAGCACCAACTTGACTGTCAAGGAGTGCGGCAGTGGGAGGGGGGACAGTGTAGGGGTCTTGCTTCAAAACACCCTTTCCCCACCCACTCCACATCTAACCAGTAAGTTCCCATCATTTCCCAGTAGACTGCCATTGGACCACACAGAATTTGCCCGTGGCCACCTAGCTGCAAAGGTACCAGGAGTCCTAGGTACACTCAGGGTGGGGCTGTAGGGCGAGGAAGAACTCATCCTTGGTATAAGAGGCTGGGCCCACGGAGGATTTTAAAATACTCTAGTCGCTGTGGCTGGGCTCTGCCAGGAAAGGAAGTGACACACTGGTTATCGCCAGGCACTTGTCTCTGGAGTGCTTCTGGCGGTGGGAGACCAGGACCGTGTCTCTGACAGATACTGTTCCGTTCCATAGGGTGCAGATGCAGGAAAGAAGGGCCCTGGCTCGGAGACAGTCTAGCATGTCTTTCTTCCCTCTTCCCTCCCCAGGGTCCTTTGCTTCCTGTCTGGGCAGTCTCCAGCAGCAGATGCCACAGCCTGGGGAGGTTACTTCCCCTTCCACATCAGTACCATCTTCAAACTGGCATCATCACTTATAGCCACCTGCGGGAGACAAACTCAGGGTGGGCCCTGCCTTCCCCTGTCTGGATCACTCTGCACCAAATGCACATTTGAACTGTCCGAGGGGTCGGCTGGCTGGCCATCCTGGTCGAGGGTATGGGGGTGGGGAGGTAGGACAGAAATAGCTTAGTAAACCTCTGTAAGTAATACTGCATCTCCACCCACATAAGCTGACCTCAGGTGGTACTCAGTGTAGCAAAATCACCCCTCTTTGGTGAGTAGGTTCCAAGAACTGGAGTTGTAGCTATATAACTGTACCCAGCTGCTCATGAACCATTCTGGACAGGGAGGAAGCCATGGCAGAACAACTTGCCAGAGCTCAGGCAGAGAGATTTGGGAACAGGCTCAAGCCGGGACTAGGTGGTACCCACAAAAGCATCATGAACACCTGCCTCCATCAAGGACCCGCCAAGAAAGTTGCTGTGCAAGAAAAGTCAAACATGACCTAGGATCCTAAGCATGTCTTAGAGACCACTTTCCCAAGGACAAAGCTTGATCTCGGAACCAGACAGTCCAGGGTTGTAGGATAATCCTCCTGAAAGAGTTCCTCAGGCCAACACAACGAGGAGGCTGAGGGGAGGTGGGAGAGCCTGTGGCTGGACTTGGGGGTGAGTCAGGAAGACTCAGTGATGACCAGAGCGGAACTGGCTCTGCTATGGAATCCACTCTGTGATTTCAGTGATGTCCTGAACAAAGCAGTGCCTCAGAGGGCTCCTTGGTGAATGTTCCTCACTCGTGAAAGTGCAGGCACGGGACCCGCCTGGGGGGATCACCGAGCTGCTGCAAGCAGACACCTCAGGACACTGCCCAACACCTGGCTGCAGATGTGTGCCCAAGACTGTCCAGCACACTCTGCCCTGGGCTATCTGGCCCTCTAGAGACGCCTGGATGCCCATCTGCAGGTGCTCAGCGGTCAAAGTCACAGCTAGGATCTTCAGCACCAGGGCTGGGTCAGTGGGGAATGACAGCTGGAAACAGCTAGAGAGATTCTCACGAAGGAGCACAGCCTGCTGCTGGCTTCTGGATCCTTCCAGAAACTGTTATGTTTGGGCTCACTCTCGCAGATTCTGCAAGTGCTTGTGGCTTGCTGCGTGCCCTTGCTGTGGAGGGGACCTATTAGACGCTCACCTAATGAGGTGTTACACGCTTACCATGACCAGTTCATCTCAACATCCCCATGAAGTGGGCACTGCCGCTGATCCACCGACAGCTGGGGATGCTGAGGGGCAAGGATGCTGCACACCTTCCTCTCATAAGTAGCTATGTGATAGCAAGGGTGACAAGACCTGGTGGCTTCCCCTGCAGAGAACTGCCTTTTACTGCACTGCCTTGCTGCTGTGAATCCAAGCTTCCTGCAGGGGCTTAACCTGTAAAACTCGGGAAAGCAGGTGGGGACATGGGAAGCTGTAGCAAAATGAGGGAGGGGAACGCACAGCCCAGCCCCTCCTGCCAGCAGCCATACACTTGCTGTTCCCGTATCTCTTACTTTCCTGTAAAGATGCCAAAAATTATGGATCATTATGTGAGAAAATCTCCCAATGTTATTGTTTGACTCGAGCGGTCTGTTAAGACAATGTGTATCTTAAGAAACCATTCCCGGGCCCATCGAGAACAATGTGACCTCTGTAGCCGGCCACCAGGGAGGGGAGAGGCCAGGCTCAGGCCCTTCTGCGGTTCACAGTATGACACCCAATATTCGCTGCTCTTTTCCACAGCCTCTAGGGCTCCTCCACATCCCCTGGACCCTAAGGATTCCCTAGGCCAAGTTTCCAGTCGAGCTTCATGCTTCCTCACTTCCTCCATCTGAGACGCTTTCCCAAAAGGCTTAAAAGTTTCAGAATTCTCTCTGACTTGCTACACGCCTGACTCCACACTTTCCTCTCGAACAAACAGTTGATCCCTTCGACCCTGTCCTTCCTTCCCGAGCATGAGGTCTGAAGACCACATTACTGACCAATCACTATTGAAGACACTGATGGATAGAGTCCTCCAAAGCAGTGACCATTCTGCCACTCTCCTATGGTCCAATCCAGACAGAACCACAGGGGCTGGATACTGTGGGGGGATGTGTGTAGCGCTGGCCTCATCAGCCTGATACTCTGGGTGGCCTCTCGTCTCCCTCCTCACAACAGTCCCGGTTTCTCATTTCACCCTCTCCCCCACCAATCCATTTTTCAGATAAGGAAACTGTGACTCAAGCAGGCTGGAGGGGATTGCCTTGAGCTCACACGGGCAGGCAGGGGATCCGAAACAATACCTAAGTCCCGCGATGTCACACTTTCTTGTTCGGGAATTTGTCCCAAGGTCAAAAAATCAAAGCAGGATCCCAAAATTTGTGTTTTAGAATGTTCGACACAGTGTTCATTTTAAGGATAAGACAGTGGAAACAATGTCCAGTTCAGATTAGCTAAATAAACGAGAGGATGATGATGTAACTATTCAATCTAGCTTATTCCCCTGGGAAGCACTAGGCACAAGTAGCTCAACCTTCAACCTCAGATTATCTTCCCCAAAACAGTTTTCTGATGGCTATGCCAATAACCCAGCAAAAGCAACACAGGCCTGGTCCCCAGGCATCAGGAACTCCATTCTCCCCTCTCTTCCTTCAGGACTAAGCTATAGGTCGGATTTCTGACCAATGGCCTCAGTACATAGAACAGTGCTTCCTTAGACAAAACATAAACACTAACACGCACACACACACACACACACACACACACACACACACACACACACATTATAGCACTGCACAGCCCAGCACAACCCAAATGCCCTTTCATTTAGCAAACACACATAAGCGCCCGCCCTGTGCCAGGCACACAGGAGACCTCAAGAAGACAAAGATGAATGAGACAGAGCCTCCCCTTCCTCAGCAGCACCATGGAGGCACTGTTGTGGTAGAGGAGCTCTAGTCAATGCAGGAGAACACTTTGCTCCTCTCTTCCCACAGGGTCACTGCTATGCCCCTGAATCTGGTACCCAACAGAGCTGAGCATCTGGAGCCCTAAGACCTGGTGCTGAATCCCAGCTCGGCCACATCCCACGCACGTACCTTTTGAGTTTCTCATCTTAAAAGGGAGTCCAAACTACTTCCTTTGGAATGTTGCTGGTCACATTCAGTAGATAATATAAGAAAATATTTTCTCATCATACAAAGTCCTACACTTCCCATTGTTTTCTGGCTTGTCAAGTATTCTGAGCCAAAGAGATGCCAAGCCACATCGGTTCCTTGATTCATCTGTGGTCCTACTCAGAAAGCCATGGGAGAGAGCCTCCTGGAGATAGGGCACTGAGCCTCTCTCATCAAATGACCCTGAAAGCACTGGAAAGTAAGTTCTGGACAGGTGCCACATATATATTAAAATCTTACCAATGGTCCACTACTGTTTTCATCAGAAGCAAGATGTGTGTGGGTTATTTTCTTAGCTTCAAGGTCAATAAAACCCATCCTCATTGTGCCTGCCTGCTCCCTGTCTTACCTTGGGAAGGTCCGTGGCCCCACGGATCCGCAGGGCCACCTTCTCTCCATCCGGGTGGATCTTGGCCACATGCTTCCACATCCTTTCCCAGGTGGCTTCGTCCACTGGCAGTCCACCTCGGTTGACGAAGAAAGGGACACCTCCATCCCGTAGGTCCTCTTCCCCTTCCTCCTCTGGTTCCTCGTCTCTCTGTGCTGAGGCCCCTTCGCTGGTCTCCAAACGTTTAATGCCAGAGTGGGAGACGGCAGCAGCAGCAGCAGCAGCGGCTGCATTCGGGGAGGCACCGCTGCTGCCACTCGGGACCACCTTCTTTCCCCCTGGCATCCCTAAATCCTCGATGGGGGTGGGAGGATATATCAGGAGGCGGGAAAACTAAGTGCCTCACAGGAGGCTTCCCACATATCCGCTATAAAGATAACACATGGCCAAACAGTGCAGGGCGCCTTTAAGAAACCAGGGCGTGGCTCCTATACAATAAAATACTATTTGGTAAGAAAAAATCAGCGCATCAGCCTGGAGTGATGGTCAGGTGGGTCGCCCAGGGTCCGCCTTAGCAGCACTGTTTTGTTTGAAAAACGGGATGAAGAGAACACACCCCAACTTGGCAGCCTGTACAAAGCACCCCCATTTGGCAGCAAGAACAATGACCCTCAGCGATTTAGGATGGCTGAGAGGAGAAAAGTGGGGTTCCGGGTGTGGGGAGACTGAGGCCAGACAGCTCTTGCGGCAATGCTGAAAAGGAGGCCCAAGGCACCGGTGCCCACTCCCCGTTTTGGAGAGAAGAAATTCCTCTATGGAATCCTTGCACACTCACACTGGCGCGAGCAGAGGGGGCCCGCGTGAGCTCCCAATCTGGACCCCAGGGATCGAGGATGCAGGGGCGGGGACGCAGCGCCGGGGGCGACTTCTCTGTCGCGACCCTTCCGGGAGCCAAGACTCTCAGCTGGCGGGGCGGGGAGGGGGCGCGCGCCGCCGTACACATTCCACGCCCGCCTCCCGCACAAAGTGGGGCTTTGTCTAGATCCCCTAGCCCCTAGCCCCGGGGAACAGCAGCAAAGAGGGCGGAGGGGAAGTGCGAGGCGGGGAAGCGACGGCTCGGGGAGCTCGGGCCCTGCGATCCCCGGCCTGGAGCGGATCAGCGGGGATACCGGGGGCACCTGGTGCAGCTCGGTCCCAGCTGAGCCAAAGAGGGACGCGGGGCCCCAGGCTCAGCCATCGTGGGGAGCGGCTCAGGCGACTCGCGGGGGACCAGGCTGAGGTCGCTGAGCGGCAGCCTCGCCACTAGCCACCAGCTGCAGCATGAGCGGTCGGAGGATGCTGCACTGGGGTTCCCACGGCCAGGCTGAGCCGGGCTGGGCGCGCAGGGTGCGAGGGCAGGTCCGTAGGCTCCGCCCGCGGCGGAGAGTGACAAAGCCCTGGAGGATGTCGGTGCACCGATCCCCAGGGAGCAGCAGCCTATGAAGGTGCAGCCCACCGTCCGATGGCGGCGTCCCGGCTCGGCGAAGCAGAAGCCACCGCTGCCGCCGGCCGGGTCCCCCGCGCCTCCCGCCGCCCACTAGGCTCGACTTCGGCCCGCGCCGCGCATGCGCTCCGTCCCCCCCTTAAAGGGCCAGCGCGTATCCCTCCGGGTCCTCCTGCTGCTGCCGCCACCCCACTATCCCACAGCTACAAGTTTTCGCAGGAGTGTCCTGTACGTTCTCTTCTTCTCACCTCTCTCTTAGGACGTTGAGAAGTGGGTGCAGAGCTGCGGAGGAAGTTTACACCCCGCCACATAGAGCGCAAACTCCTGGGGGATTCTTGGCGCGGAAGGAATTGTGGCGGGCGGTCGGGAATTTCCTGATGGACAGACACATGGAGGAGGGGCAGCCCTCAGCTATAGAATAAAAAATGCTGACCTGGAAACCTCGAGTTCTAGACGGTGTTCATGCTCATTTTCCTCTGGGACGTTTTGTAAATCTCTTCTCTTTGCAGATTTCAGCTGAATGAACTCTGCTCTTCTGACAATGCTCCTTAAGGGAGGACTTGTAAGGGTTGAGAGTTGCTCTGATTATTTCGGTTACTTGCATGGGATCCTGGGAGTGTGCCCCTAGTTCTGGCTTTGAATGTCCCAGTCCCTGGCACCTGGCTGGAGATAAGAGTCTTCCCAATCATGGGACCAAAACAGCTACATAAGGGTGGGAGGTAGTGTTTGGGGGGAGTTGACCTGCCCAGATAAGCACCGTTGAAAGTTGTGTGTGGCATGTGGATGCTGTAGACCCCACACACCCTCTTCTTTCCCTGTAGCACAGATCTGCATGTAACTCCCAAACTAAGAACCTTACCAGACGTCTACAGCTGAGCGGCGTAAGACTTTCCCCTACCAGTAGTTGGTATGAATAGCCGTCATCGGAGAAATGTTCCTCACAGATACAGTTTGGATATTGAAGGTCTCCCAGAGACCAATGTGTCCTCAGATGGTGATATTCGGAGGTAACAGAACCTGGGGAGGGGCTGTGTGTGTGTCTAGGTGGCTGAAGGTATCCCCTCCATCCTAATGTCATCGCTGTTGCTATGATAAGACACTGACCCAAAGCAACTTTGGGTGGAAGGGATTTATTTTGGTCTATACTTCCAGGTCACAGTCCATCACTGAGGAATGGGATTCAAGGCAGAACCCATGAGGAATGCTGCTTCCTGACTTATTCGATCTTGTTAAGCTATTTATTTATTTATAGGTGAGATCTCATTATGTAGCACTGACTGATCTGGAACTTGGTAAGCAGACTGGTTTGGCCGCAGATCTCTGTGAATCTCTGCTTCTGAAGTGCTGGAGTTAAAGGCATGCACCCACGTTAAGAGTAGAGAGACCTGAGAGTCCCCAGGCCTTAATGCTTTTTAAAAAATATTTATTTATTATGTATACAATATTCTGTGAGCCACCATGTGGTTGCTGGGAATTGAACTCAGGACCTTTGGAAGAGCAGGCAGTGCTCTTAATCGCTGAGCCATCTCTCCAGCCCCCCCCCCCTTAATGCTTTTCTATGGGGTTCTTAAAGTTCCTCCTGGTGTCAGATCTTTCTAAGCTTCAGTCACAACCTTTTGTCGCCTCCAGTGTCAAGAACCAGGCATGATCAGTGCTAGGGATGTTTCCAGAAGGCCAGGTTCTTCCTAAAGTCACTCTCAAGGAGAGTCCGGCATGCAAATGGCACCAGAGATCAACAGCTGCTTCCTTCCTGTTGTGTAAATGGGGAAGCCTGACTCTCAGATTGCAAATTCCCCAAGCCCACACAGGAACAAGCCGCAGAACCAGACAGAGAGCAGAAGGCCTCCTTGCGACACTGCCTCTCCACCTAATAATGCCTGTCTTGCGTTTACCCAGTGCTCACGGTGAACTTACAGGATGTTTACAAGTTCTCTGCCCTCTCTTTGTGATATTGGAGTCTGACTCCCCTTCCTCTGAACGTGTGCTAAGCTCAAGGACTCTACAGAATAGAATGAGAGGAGATGGATTCACGGCAGGGCTGCAGAAATGAGATGCTGTCTTCCGAAGACACCAGCTGCCATGCTGTGAGGAAGCACAGGCAATCCAGATGTCACATGAGGGCTTTCTGGCTGACAACTCCCAGTAGATCGCGGCCAATGGAGACAGTCAATACAGGTGGTAAACTGAGTCCCTGGCCTTTGGGTCTTCCACCCAAGGTCTCAAACATGGAGCAGCGACAAGCCAACCGCATGCACCCTGTTCGAATTTTTCTCCTACGGAAATAGAAATAACAAGTGATTTAAAAAAAAAAAAGCAGGTAAGTTTGAGCTGTAATTTGTGACATAGCATCAGATAATTAGCACAGCCGGTTTCCTAAAATGAAATAGATTTGTGGTTTTCATAATACATACTAAATAGATGTAGGTTACTCACTGAAACCTTCAAATGGTGTAAGGATCAGGGAGCATCTACACTGGTCGCTGTCGCTATGGATACAGTGTGAACAAAAGGGATGTGATCTTTGTCCCAACAGACCGTATGGTCTGCTAATGGAGGAGAAGGCTGGACGCAATTGCCATGAAGTCCTCTGCCAGAGAGCAGTGCAGTCAATCGTGAGAGTGCATATTCTAGGTAACTTCCCAGAAATGTGGAAGCTGGGAAAGGAAGAAAGGGTTACAGACCTGCAGGATCTACTCTGGGGATTGGCTGGCTTGTGCCGGTAGAAGTAGGAGGAGATATACATCCAGCAAGGGAGATGCAAAAATACCAGGCAATGGAGAACCTGGAAAGGGATGTATCTCAGTCTCTGGCAAAAGCCCAGAGAAGACAAGTGTCTTGCCTATTGTTGCATAGCTTGTGAATTGGGACCAGATCCTGACTTCTTGTCTAACCCTCCCAGGACTCCTCCAGACTTGTGCCCTGAGAACAACATCTATAAGAGACACGGGTAACTCCTTACTTTTGTTCAGAGCGCTTATGACCACGATCTTCTTTGCTATCCACACAAAATCTCCAGAAGAAGGGGTGGGGTGTGTCATGCTTTGAAGAGTGCTTGTCTGGCATGTCTGGAACTCTGAGTTCAATCCCCAACATTGCATAAACCAGCTGTGGTAGTGTGCACATGTCATACCAGCTCTTGGGAGGTGGAGGCAGGGGGATCAGAAGTTCAAGGCTCTCCTCAGATATCTAGTGAACTCAAGGTCAATCTGGGTTGCACAAGACTCTGTCTCAAAACAGGACTGGAGGAAGGTAGGATGGGCATGATTTCCATGGTGCGGATAGAGAAAGGCTGCATGGATCATGTCTCTAGTAGAGGTGCTGGCACATCGGAGCTACTGGATACCGGTGATTTTGATGGTGAAGATAAAGTTCATATTATACACATCAGAGTTGCTATCACATTCTAGACTATAGTTCTAGAGGTGAATATGAAGGGTCTTAGGACATCAGCATTCATAGAAATCTTCTTTCATTAATGTTTTTGTTTGCTTGTTTGAGATAGTCTCACTATGTAGCCAGCCCTGTCTGACCTGGAACTTAATGTGTAGAATAAGCTGGCCTTGATTCAGAGACCTGCCTGCCTCTGCCTCCCGGGTGCTGTGATTAGAGGCGTACACCACCACCCTGACCCTTATTTTCTATTTCTGTCACTAAACCTAGATTTAACGTCTGACTTAGCTTGGGTCTTGGGCCCATCGCCTGTCTGAAGGAGAGCAGTACAATCTTAGCAGTTGTCTAGCTATGGCCATAGACAGTGGGGTCAGAAAGCCTCTCTAAAAGTAATGGGGTGCTAGTAAAACAGAGACATAAAAGTACATGGGCATAGATAGCGTTTATAACTGACTCTATCTATGGTAGGGATACTACAAATCACATGTGTGCTTTAAACTTAACCCTAAGTAAACTCGAAAAGCTAGAGCCCCGGTTTAACACTGGACACATTGCATGCCCTTAGTAACCGCATCCGGCTCAGAGCTACCGTGATGAGCAGCTGAGGCTGCAGGACCTTCCACCACCGCGGAGACTCTGCTAGTCAGTGCTCTTCCAGTCCCACTCAGAAGTCAGTTTTCTGTCCTCTATTTACCCCCTCCCTCTCTCCCTTTGACAATCACATGCATCAGATTGTTGTCAAACTCACTATACAGCTGTAGCTGACCTTGAACTCCTGATCTTCCTGCCTCTACCTGGTGGTAGAGGGTTACAGGAAGGTGCCACCCCACCCAGTGACTTTTCCTTTCACCTCATTAGTGATGAATATGGAAACAACTAAGGAGGTGAGTCATGATCTTTACTCACGTATACACCAAGTCCATTCCAATGTCTGCTTCCAGGAAGGGGCCTGGAAGTAAATCGCAGGACCACAGGCTCCAGGGACACCCGGGAAGAACCTCAGAGCTCTTTTGGCGAAGTGGATCTCAGGTTAGACTCACCCAGAAAACTCTCAAAATTACCGATAACCTGAGCTCCAGCCGGCAGTCTTGCAAGGCGCATGTGACGGACAGCAGCTTCCAGACAAGCAGACCGAGAGCCACAGTTGCTGGGAGCTGTGACTCGTCTATGATCACATGGCTGGGATTCCAGCTCCAGGGTGTCCTGCTTCTCCCTCACTGCCCCATAACTGAGAGTGCAGATCCAGGAGCCAGGCTTGCCGCTTCACTTTGCCCTGGGTCCCCCTAGGGAAGAAGGCTCTGTATAGGTGAGGAGCAGCCCCTGCTGTGCGTGTCTGCGGAAGCCCCAACGCTAAGGCAATCTGGACAGTTGTCACCTGTCCTCAGCGAGAGTCCCAGAATTCTGTAAGGAAGGGGGATTTCAAGCTACGTGGGGTAAGAGGTTAGGGGTGGATTCCTTATCTTGGGAATTTGGCACAGGCAGCTGAGAACATCGCTGTGCCTGGGGTGGCGTTTGCTCTGGGCACCCTGTAGTTACGGTGCACGTTTGACGGGTGCAATATCTACCCTTGGCTTGGAGGGCTGTGAGATGGTGGGCTGCCTCTGTCACCGCGTATCTTTGCAATCGGAGCTCCTGTGCAGGTACTTCCTGGGCAGCACAGCCTGGTCTTCAGGGGCCGAGAGGGAGCAGGACACACCGTGTTCCACTATAAAGGACTCTACCCACTGCTGTCCTCTGAGAACCACTCCCTACAATAATAGGAAATCTATGCCTTTAGATGACATCAAGGGACAGACTTAAAAATGGATCAGG